CCATGGCCGAGCGCCTCCTCTACGGCCGCAACGTAGCGTTCATGCCCTATGGTGAGTACTAGCGCCAGCTGCGGCGCGTGTGCTTCGTCCACCTGCTTAGTGCGGGCCGTGTCGGGTTGTTCCGGCGTGTCCGGGAGCAGGAGGCTGTCACGCTGACCGGCCGTCTGGACGCGTCGCCCGGGCCAGCAGTACGGCCGTCGATCTCAGCGAGCTCCTCACCGAGTACGCCAACGTCGTCGTGTCGCGCGCCGCTCTCGGTGACGAGAGCGCGTGTGCTGTTCGACGTCGACGACAGCGACTCCAGCCGTCGGCAGAGGAAGGTGTTCACTGACTTCCAGAAGCTCATCGGGACGGCGCCGGTCAGAGAGCTGCTGCCGTGGCTGGGCTGGGTTGACGCCATCACCACGCTGGAGGCGGAAGATCAGGCGGACGTTTGAGGAAGGTGTTCAATTTTATTCCTCCAAAAAAGATGCTATTTTAGTTTTATCTATATATACATGCATATGTAGTAGTAGAATCGATCTCTTTCGTGTATCATAATCAAACCATGCACCGGCGGCGTCGTGAGCACTCGGCAGGAGATGTTCGTGGGAGGCACGGACACCACAACCGCGTGGATGGAATGGGCCATGGCTGAGCTCGTAACCCACCCGTGCAATACGCAGACCCCACGAAGAGGTCCGCACGGCGGCCGGCGGCTCAACCCATGGCGGCGGCGGCGTCAATGCGTCGCCCAGCTGGACTGCCTGAAGGCCGTGGTGAAGGAGACGCTCCGGCTGCACGCGCCGGTGCCGCTGCTTGTGCCCCGGGAGCTGCTTGCAGACGCCGAGATCCTGGGGTACCACGTCCCGGCGCGCACGACGCGTGCTGATCAACGCCTGGGCCATCGGCCGGTACCCCGCGACGTGGGACAGCGTGTCCTGGAATTCGTGCCGGAGAGATTCCTGGGCAGCAGCGCCGCCACTGTCGACTTTAGTGGGCAGCGCTTCGAGCTGCTGCCGATCGGCGCCGGCAGGAGGGTGTGCCCCGTGCTCGGTCTCCCTTATCTATGACGTGTGGGCCGGAGCGCCAATATGTCTATGTGAGCCAGCTTGGACTGCTATGTTGGCAAATCCAGGAGCCACGTCATCAATTCAAGGAGCCAAAACCACTACAAGGGGTTAAATGTCTGGTTTGGAAAAGTTTAGGGTGCTAAATACATGGTTTCATAGTTCAGGGGGTGAAATAGACATAAAGACATAGGTTAGGGGGTTATGTAGACTTTTTCCGGAATTTCTGGGTAAGTGTTCCCTATTTCAGTGTGTTTCTTTATGATAGATAAATCTGGAAATTCAGCATCTGAGCAGGAAGGAGGAAACAAGAGTTTGCCCCTGATGGATGACTGTAGGGAAACTTTCTTGCCCTTGCTTTTGTTTCTGGCTATCTAACCCTTGGGAGGTGAAGCCTGTTTGGGTTTGTGACCATCAAGAGCCTTGTTTAGTCTGTCACTTCTTCTGAGTTTTTTTGCTGAAACTGGAGTACTGCACTTCCTCTTTCTTCTCAAAGGTTTTCTGGTACTGTAATCTTCCTCATCAAGTTGCCCATGTATGACCATGTAATCTTCAACTGGTTCAGGAAAGATTTGAGCTCTTTCCTCTTGCATTTGGTTGTTTCTCATGTTAGCCTGAGAGCTTTTGTTTTTCCTAAACTTCCTTCTGTAGTACACCTTAGTAATCGGGGTGGTTCTTGTTACAATCATACTAGTCTGATGCCTTTGGACCTCCAGTACAGGCATAGTGTTGTTAGCAGTCCTTGGTTCTAGAATGTTGCCCTGACTTGGGATTGATACTGTAATGTTCAGAGAATTGATGCCTAAAGCAGCGAGATCAATGCTGATGATGGAGTCCGGGACGGCTAGACTTCCTAAAGGCCTTGAGCCTTGAATGTTTAGCTGATTGTTCATTATCTGTCTAAGGCCAGAGACCAGGATATTAGTGATTGCTTCCTTCTGTACTCTGTCATTCTGCTCTGCAGTAGTCCCAGGTTTGGCAGGCACTATTGCAAGGTTGTTTGCAATCTGAGTTATATTCTTGAGCCCTCTCCTGGTTCACCAGCGTGCTGTTCTGTTCTAGGTTCAGTGAATCCACAATCACTTCGGTACTTTGCCCTGCCACAATATGGAAGTGTTGGGAAATGTGGATCAGGGAGTTTGAAATGTTGAGGCTTCCCATTATCTTGTTGGAGGCGTCATTGCTTTGGTTGACAATTAGTTGCCTTAGCCCATCAGCAATGAATTTTGAGATGGCATGTCTCTGATCAATGACCTTGTGAGTTTCTGGCAGCCTGTTGATGTTGCTTCCTGTTGTGACAGTCAGAGCTAGAGGATCAGTGACCTGCTGCTGATTAACTTGCAGTTGATCTTGGTTAGTTTCAGACGTGTTATCGATCACAACAGGCATTGGAGAGTTGCTGATTGCAAGAGCTTTGTTTTGTTGGACCCCAGCAAGTTCAGCCACTAAATTTTCTTGCTCATCATGCTGCAATAGAGATTTTCTTTTCATTGCCCTGTCCAAGCTGGAGAAGAGCAGGGGCAGCATGGCATGAAGCAGCATCAACCATCACAGCATAACCTTGTTCCTCTTCCATAACACTAGAGAGAATACAATGGGTACAATCATGGGAGCCGAGCATAGAATGCACAACGTCATCAGGTGCATTGGGCCCAAGGGACCATCGAATATAATTTTTTCTTCCTTCTCTGTTGTTTGCTGGGCTTAGTGGCCCATTTACGCTTGAGGTCTGATCGTCTCTTAGCACAGTAACAAGCACGATGACCATAATTGAAGCAGTAAATAAAACGAGTCTCCCCCCAGCAATCTTTAACAAGATGAGCTGGACTTAAGCATCTGAAACAAAGGCGAGTTGCATGATTTGGGAAAAAAACTAAAGCGTTCACCCTGGGGAGGAGACCAGACATTAAACCTTGCTGACGGCTGAGTATTGGCGGCCTGATCGAGATTGGTGTTAATGTGGAGATCTCTTTTGAGATTTTGAAAAACCTTCTGGATTGGGACATCAGTCCGCCTAGCTGTCGAAGAGCAGGTATACTCGATAGGAGCATCACCATGATCACCATGAGTAACATTAGCAGCATCCCACACTTGGTTAGCAAGAGAACCAAAACCTCTTTCATAATCTAAAGAAATTGAAGATTTCCTCAAAACATTGCAGGAGTCCGTCGTAAGAGGGCAGAAAATAGCACCAATCTTGATCATCGACGAAAGCTCCCTAGGACGAGATTTATGAACCGGAGAATCTTGGATAAGCTTTTTATGAAAAGAAACCCTCTTGGCAGATATCTTGCGTTTGTTTTTATTGATCACAGCTGACCAACTTTCGTTCTCTTCTTTTTCCATTTTTTGTGCTCGAGTTTCCAGTTTTCACCTCCATCACGCCACATGTGGAAGTAGATGTCAAAGTGATCAGTGGTAATCCTCTTAAGGGCACGAACCAACAAACCCACATGCTTCGAGGCAACAGAAAAGCGGAAATGTCGATCTTGCAGATAGGAAACATGAAATCCAGCAGGAGAGCCACCCAAGCAACAGTGAAGAGCCATAGCAACCGACTCTTCAGTCAAACGAAAGAGGTATCTTCGGAAAACCACAAGCATGAAGAATGAGCCATCCGGAGACGATGATGGGTGATGCACCGAAGAAGAGAACTTGTGAAGGACTTCAGCTTGGAATCTCTTACCCGGAGAGAAATCCCAGTCCTCGACTAACTCCGCAAGAGCAGGATCATGCTCAAGTTCGAGGAGAGTGTCAAGGGAGCAAACCTGCCGAGCCATGGAGGGGAGCTCAACTTCAGCGAAGTTAGTCGAGCAGCAGCAGAACAGATCAGTACCGAGCAGAGCAGAGCAGATCAGTAGCAGCAGATCAGCACCGAGCAGTTGCAGAACAAATCAGCACCGAGCAGAGCAGACCACCAAGCAGCAGCAGAGCAGATCAGCACCGAGCAGAGCAGAACTGAGCACGTCCACACCACCGAGCAGCGGCAAAGCAGATCAGAAAGAGCAACTCGTAGCAGAGAACCGCACCAAGAGGTGGCTGCCGGACCAGAAGTAGAAGCCAATGGCGACAACGGAAGATGGAGTCCACGGAGTTGATTCGCCAGACGGGTGACGACAGAAGCTGCAGACGACTCATGTCGGCGCCGTGCCTTCCCCGTCTCACTCGCGTGGGAGCAGGGGCTCCACCGCAGCCTTTCTATCGCGAGGTCAGGACGGCCATGGCGGTGCCGGACGAGCTCCAGGGCCCAGCCATGGGGCTGCACGACGAGCTCCAAAGGGGAGCTCTATGGCCCGGCCATGGGCGCACGGAGCTACGCGGAGCGACTTCCAGGGCACGGCGCAGGGTCGCGCGGAGCAGCGCGGGTCGCCGGCGTACGCAGCGCAAGCCGCCGGCGCGGGGCCTCGTGGGCCGCAGGGCGGCGGGGTGGGTGCAGGGTCGCGCGGAGCAGCGCGGGCCGCCGGCGCGGGGCCACAGAGCGGCGGGGCGGAGCGGGGTGGCGCTACGCGGCGGGAAGTAGTCCTATACTGTCAATTTAAACGTGTTTGTTTGGATTATTATGACATCATCAGACTTGTAATGTTGAATCATGTTTTAACTAAATTCCACAACAAACCACCCTAACACACATGGATTGAGGCAGATACATGCGCATACAAACAAGACCTAGGTGAATCTAACTAACTTATCGGCCCCCCTTTAAACCGTGATGAAATCAAGCCCACCCGAATTATCCTGTCAATATCCTGTTCAAGCCCACCTGACAGTAAGAACTAACTTGTTTATTTCACTCATTTTAACCACAGTTTGCTAGGCCTTTGAAGTTGTATCATAATAATATTATCTTACACTGTACTTTATTGTTTCTCTCTGAAGAGCAAGGAATGATCTTCTACATTACAAGTCTAATGATGTCTCACATTTTTTGTTGCTTCTTTTCCCTATTTCCAGTAAAGGAACCAAGTCTGGAGCACCTGGAACATGCTACAGATGTCATGGTGTAGGAATGAGGACTATAACAAGACAGATAGGATTAGGCATGATCCAACAGATGAACACTGTTTGCCCTCAATGTAGAGGGTCAGGTATGCTACTCTTATTCCATTTGTGTGTATCTTCCTGCAAAATGCGTTTTGCTTGAGCCATTCTTGTGATTGTAATCATGTATCATTGATCAGGTGAAATCATAAGTGAAAGGGATAGGTGCCCAAGCTGCAGAGCCAGCAAAGTTGTTCAGGAGAGGAAGGTTCTTGAGGTTCATATTGAGAAAGGAATGCAGCATGGCCAAAAGATTGTGTTCCAGGGTGAAGCTGATCAAGCTGTGAGCTCAATTCACCCCCTTTCCTGTAGCCATAAGATGCAGGCGTATACACATCCATTGAGTTATTTATAACTGCATTTGCCACAATTCATATTGCAATATGCCGTCCATCATGTTGCAGCCTGACACAGTGACAGGAGACATTGTTTTCGTCTTGCAAGTTAAAGAGCACCCAAGATTCAAGAGGAGATATGATGACCTGTTCATCGAGCACACAATCTCTCTGACAGAGGCTTTATGTGGATTCCAGTTCATTCTGACCCATCTTGATGGTAGGCAGCTTCTAATCAAGTCCAATCCTGGTGAAATTATTAAGCCTGGTATGTTCCCACTTCTACAATCTAGATGGTACTGTTTTGGGTTTGACACCTAAGTCTGCTTTGGTCTGTAAATTCTATCGAGCTTGACTTTTGGAAATGATTCAACTCAAACTTTGTTCAAAAAAAGGTCAACACAAGGCCATAAATGATGAGGGTGTGCCCCAGCATGGTCGGTCCTTCATGAAGGGCCGTCTCTTTGTGGAATTCAACGTCGAGTTCCCAGAATCTGGCGCCCTCTCACCTGACCGATGCCGGGCACTCGAGAAGGTCCTGCCACAGAGGCCCAGGGCTCAATTGTCAGACATGGAGGTGGATCAGTGCGAGGAGACCATCATGCATGATGTCAACATCGAAGAGGAGATGAGGCGCAGGAAGCACCAAAGGCGGCAGGAAGCCTACAACGAAGACGAGGATGATGCTGGTCCGAGGGTACAGTGTGCCCAGCAGTAAGACGTGAGACCGTGTTTCACGCATGCGTTACCCTTTACCATAAGTGATAATAACGCCCACACCGAATTGTGGAGTTCGTGCATGAGAAAATTATATGGTATATGTGTGACACTGTCAGTCATATGTGATAGATAAACAGTTGCCAGCTAGGCATTTATACTGGTCAAAGTATGTAGTAGTATCTGTGTAAGTATATGGTGATAATGACGGCTTGGCTAGGATTTGGGAGTAATGTTTGTTACACACTTAAATTTATCATTACTGCTATCTTTGGTTCAACGGAATGCTGGTGGCCTGCTGCCGGGACTTGGCATGTCAGCGTTTGAGATGTGAGAATCTGAAACTGGACTATGCAAATACGGTGAAACAGTCAATAAAGTTCATGAGCAGCAGGCTTTTATGCAGTAATCTGATTTTGTGGTTCGTAGCTGAGAAGTCTCTGTGAAGGTTGGGCAGAATTCCAGAAACGAGCTGGCTGCTGTTGATCGTATAATGGAAACCACATGACCACCCTTTGTTCCCTTTTTCTGAACTATGAAGACGTGAAGTCAAAGTTCCGGTACCTCGCAGATCATGGTGCAGTAGTACGTGGCTTTCTGTTCCGTTAACTGTTACTTTCACTGCCTTAACAGTATTGACATTTTCATACCTGATTCCTGAATTAGCTGGAATCCCAGCTGGACCTCTTCTAGGCTCATGCCACGCATCCACTGCAGAACAAATCCTATGTGCTGCTACCATCCCTGCACTTTTCTTGTGCCCAGCTGCTTGTGCATCTCCCAATGGAGATCCGCCGCTTGTTTCCGTCACCATTGACTCCTCTCTTGCCACTTGTTGCCAGGCACGTTTTCTTGAAAAATCTCTCCAGTTTTGACTGCCAATCTAGCAGGTTTCGTGCAGTAACTACGGCATTTGGCCGTGTGCTCGCTGATGCCATTATCATCGGGGTCGGGGCCAACTTGCTGGAGGAAGAAGCAGCAGCATGCAAGCAAGAACATCGCAGCCACTGCCACGCATCAGTCGCTGCACCGAGACTGCGCGCCCTACTGATAGCATCAAGACCTGACCGATGACTGTTCACCTTTCCAATTATCTTTCTTTTTTCTTTTTGCGAAAACACCTTTCCAATTATCTGAACACACAGCCCAGAAAATTCATGCTGTTGAGTGCTGATGCGTTCATGCGTGGCAAACCACTACTGTAGCCAGTAGTAGTGTTTAGTAATTAGTGCGTGTTAGCCTGAGCCTGGCGAGGTTCAGTAAACCGGGACGCCAAAAGTTGGTTAGGGTTCCTAATTTCAAGATGGAAGAAGCAGGTTAGGGTTTAAAGGCTCCATTAATTGGTCATGTCAAGCTCTGCGTTTCTTTCCCTTTTTGCTTGCTATGTCAGCAGCGATAAATTAAAAAACGATGACCGATGACGGCATCGGCGCCCGACGCCAGGTTAAACTAGAGCCGTTTACAGCCTGTTGCGTTGACAGTGCACTGATCCCGTCTCAGACTCTCAGCTTACATTACACCATCGGAGAGGAGTAAATAAAACAGTGGCATATCTCGGGAGCCGGCTGTTGTTGTCGATCCAACACGGGGCATTTGACTCCCTCTGCAGCAGTTTATGTTAGGACGGACTTACTAGTATAGGAGGAGGGTAACGTGAGGTTACTGTTTTCGCTTTGCTCTGCTCATCGAAGTTATATTACTCCGTAGAACTTGTAGCGATAGCATTGATGGCCCTGCCGTTGGCATCTAGGCACTTGTTGCGAGCTGATTCATCTCTGTGTTTAACTTGCCGTAACCACGAGTATTAACTGATGTTCTCGGCAACAGTGTGAGCTGAGATTGTATATTTGTTCTCTCTCGACAGTCGACACTCTGTCCCTGCGCCCGCAATTATGTAGACTGGAAAGACTAGTATATGTTCCGCAGTTCCGGCATCAAAGTATTTAACCAATACGCGTCTGGTAGTGTTATTAAGTTCCTGCCAATACGTACTTGGAAAAAATGGCAGTGTTATACTAGTATTTAGTAATGAGAAAAACACTGTTTCGATGAAAAAAATAGCGTAGTTCCGCGAGGAGGAAGTTCCGTACATTGTACACTTACGGCTGGATCACTCCCGAGTCCCAAGTCCGTCCCATCTCGCAGCAACAGCGCCTAATCAACCGCACGATTTGTCTGGTTTTACTGCTCTGAGTTATCTGACGGTCTGACCGACTAGATGAAGTTGAAGCTGGAACCCCGGCCTCTAGCTGATGATAAGTACCCTACATACGGAAGTTAGTTGGGATCGGGTACACGCACCCAGCCAAATTTGACGGCGAGTTGTTACCTGCACTTAGGAGTAAGACACGTCGAGACCATCCACTGGACTGCCACCGTGCACTGCGATACGGAGTATAGTAATGGAAGTAGCCCTAGTATAATACACGTACACGTACTGCAGTGCATTTGTGATTTGTGTTATAGACTTAACGACTTTGTGGTGGCGCTGCGAATATACTACAAGTGCAGTTTCGTACATTAATTGCACATTAGTGGCCGTTATACTATACTCCATCTTGCAGCATCGATCAAGTATCAATGCCTAGCTCTAACTGCAAGGCTAGTCCAGTTTTACAACTCTAGATCTCCGACTCGATGAAGTCGAAGCTGGAACCCGGCCGCCGGCCGGCCTCGAGTTGATGATACGGAAGCGTTGGTTGGGTTTGGATGCACGCACGGGCCAACTTTGACGGCGAATTGTTACTTCCAAGTAGTAGACACGTCGAGAGAGACCATCCACCACCGTAACCGTTGGGCTAACCAGCGTGCACTGCGCGAGTCTACGATACGATCGGAGCCATCGACCGTAGAGGAGCAGGAGCAGCAGTAAATGCATGCGTTGGACAAGCGGACAAGCTCCATAATAACGTAAAAGTAATGCGTGCCGAGACACGGACAGTACGTGTCTACCGCCCGCACGCCGATTCGCTACCTCGCTCTTGTTCGGTACAGCTAAACGCACGCACGCTCGCGGCTGAGGCGGCTCCGCCGCCAGTTCCCGTTCCCCCTCCCTCTCGCCGTCGCGCGGCGGACAAGGACGCGCCGGCGCGCGGTCGATTCATTTGCTCGGGAGGACGGAGCAATCTCTCTCTCGCGTGGTTCCGCGTGCGGGATCACACGAACGGCCAACCCGCTCGGAAAACGATGGAGCCGCGCGGAGTCGTGGCCGTGGGGTGGGCTCGGTCGGCTGGCTGGCCGCGCTCGGCGCGCGGGCTGCAGGCTCCACGCTCACGTGGTTCCCCTCGCTCAGGCTGCGACTGCGACCGCGACTGCTGGGCTGCAGTAGGCCTGTAGCTGGAGCTGCCCAAGGGGGACGCGGACGCCACGTTCCCTGTGTCGCCGGGCCCGTGGGTCAAACGGAACGTGATGCACGACACTGTAGCTTGCCGGGAACAGCGTCCATCATGTCCGTGGGATGCGGTAATTGCACGGCTCGGCTGGAGGTGTGTTGAAAATGCGTGTTAACAATGGCCGGTTGAAAACGGGAACGGGCTCCTCTGGATTTCAGCCCGTGCACGTGCTACCGATGCGTTTAGTGTTTACTCAAGGGCTACTGCATGCGGTACAATTTCGTTAGGGATTTGTACCGATAAGTACTCTTACCGATGCTTCTAAACAAATACTACTGCTCTGCTACTACACTGTGCAGGCGTACCAGTGCTGCGGTGCACGAGGCTAACCGCACGCACAGGAACAGCTGGCTGCGGCCAGCAAGGGCCGTGGCATATACCATCGCATCGTGTTGGCTGCCAAGAATGGCAACACGAATGCGTGCAAGGAATCTTACTCCTTCACCGCTGCGCCTTTATTTAACGAACCAACATGACAGTTGTCTATTGTGTGTTTTTTTTTTAAATGTAATCTCTTGGTTTCAAATTATAAGACATATTAGCTTTTTAGGTATACTCCTTCCGTCCAAAAAAACGCAATTATATCTCTGAATCTGGACACACGTCGTGTCCAGGTTCAAAACTAGAATTACGTTTTTTTCTGGACGGAGGGAGTATACTGTGACTTTTATTAGATATATACTATATCCAGATACATAATAAAAACAATGTATCTAAAAACGAAAACATGTTATAATTTGGAAATTAGAATGGATGAAGTAGAAGGCTAAAAAAAACAGGCGCCAAAAAAAACTGTACAAAAGGCTACAAGAAACGCTCAAGCCGTAAAAGAGCAAAAGAAATATGAGAAACCGACTAAAAACCCTGAAGAAGGCATGTTAGGTGCTTTGCTCCTGCCGCTATCCACGTCTGCACTTCCTTCTTTTCTATGGCATTCTAGGATTTGTCCAATGCGACGGCATTTATTTTGTCTCGTGTTCTGTTTGAACTCGTGAAATAGAGGATCGACCTCTTCGTTTGCTCGTATAAGATCGTGGATTATAAGCTGGAATAATATTTTTCTCTCACACAAAATCAGCCAGCAGTAAATAATTCACGATCGTTTACGATGAAACGATCAGGCCGCTACTAGCAACAAAAAGCCTTTTTACATTTCTGGTAGGGTAGGAGTACACCTCACTCAGTATCTGTTTTGACCTGCACTGAGGTCCACTGAAGCTGCGTATATACTGAACCGTACAATTCGGTCTTGAGGTTGCAATTGCATGAAGGAGATCGCAGTTCAATCCTGGTACATTCCAATCAACCAGAACTGAAATTCGGCAGAGATGGTGAGCCCTGGCCTAACTTCATCTTTATCCGCAGTCCGTCCGGCCATCAGACCTCAGAAGCAGGAGTAACTCCAGGGAAAGCCACGGAAGGGAAGGCAAGTCAAAGGCGAGACCTGACAAACCGAAGCCAAATTGGGCTTTCCTGGCTCGCAAAAGAAACAAGTCGGGGACGGATTCGGCGAAATGCGAAATGCTGGCCGAGATTTGTCCAGCTCGACGCCTCCGTTTGTCGTCTGGTTGGGCGCCCGGCCACCCGGGCCGGGCAACGCGCCGGCCGGCAGGCTTGCACCCACGATCTATCGCCGAGCATAATATTTGCGTTCCGCCTGCACGGCAACGGCATGCGCATTCTGTACGCAGGCGCCACCGCCACCGCCACCACTTGGCCGCGCTGCTTGATCTGCCATCGCATTTTTGTATGCAGGCATCAGCGCCACTTGGCCCGCACTCTCATTGCATGATTATGCTAATAGTATCACGTTTATTGATCGGTTCACAGATAGTTTATTCTGGAATGGAGTTTAACAAACTATTTTTCCTATTAAGAAGATTGACTTGCTGCAACTTACTGTACTAGTTAAAACCAACTGGAGACGAATGAGAGTGACGGATCAAAAGCTTACCGTTCAGCCTTCAGCAGGTCAGCAGCATGCTTCTAGCCTAGTGCTGCAGAGATGGCTTCCTTTGTTTTTTCATACCGCGCAGAGGATGGTTAGTTAAAGTAGTGGTACTTGTTAAGCCCGTTGAGTATCAGACTGTCAGTAACACTGAGTGAATGTCAATGCGTAGAATGCTAGGACCTATAAACAAATCAGTCCAATATAAATAAACATGTTGCACTCCTGGTGTATCTCCCCATTGCATTATTATGTTGATAGCATCACGTTATTGACAGGTTTAGAAATAATGTATTTGGATGGGTTATTCTATTGGGTTTTTGTCCAGAAGAAGACTGACTTGCATCGTCTATAACTAGTTAACAGCAACTGGAGCCGAATAAGATCCACGGATCAGAAACTTACTGCTCAGCTTATAGCAGGCCAGAAGTACCTATTGATTGCAGGACCACGAGCGATGATTGGCTAGACTAAGCCCATCGAGTATTTACTATGTCAATGCCTAGAATCATCTATAAAGAAATCAGAGCTTCTCTCGAGTACCTGCTTCCAAACGAGATAAAACGCTGATCATATAGCGTATGGGCTACACCAAGGATCCATCAGCACTATCCGCGTCGGAGTTGGATGCCTTTGACAAGATCCTCGACGGCAACCTGACTGTGTCCATCGCTGAAGAGCTGGAAGCACTCTTCCCAGACGGTGGAAAGGGCTTGTCCAGGCAGCCGTGAAGGCGCAAGGCTACCTCCTAGGTCGCACCACTGCGTCGGTTTGGGTTGTTTTCCATTTATGTAATATCGAAACGGTATGGACTCCCTCTTCGCCCTCGTCTCCTGGCAACTATGGAAGGAACGGAACGCAAGATGTTTCCGGGAATCGACATCGTCCGTCGGCGACCTACTGCACATCATCAAGAACGAAGCCGACCGATGGATTCAGGCCGGAGCAAGCGGGCTACGTGCGCTAGCGCAGGGCTAGGTCCTTGTCAGGATAGACATGGATTACGGTGGTTGTTTTTTTCCATAATGTAGCGTCCGCAGGAAACTAACTAACGGCCGGGAATGAAACTCTTGTACTATAAACTCTTTCTTCTAATACAATGATATGCACACTCGTGCGTATTCGAGAAAAAGAAACTAGAGGTCTTTTGCTAGTATAGTCTAGCTACGGCTGTTTTAGGTCGACCTCCTTTGACGCTTAATAGAGACGCGTTGTCTGTATGTTTAAACTCTTCTTCTTAATACGATGATACGCAAATATTTTGCGTATTCGAGAAAACAAAGAAATCAGTTGAAAGCTACAATGAATAAATAAATGTTCCTTAATTTTGCAAATAAGAAAAAATGTGTTTTGAAAGAAAAAACAAATGTTTACGTTAGTAGTATATTCACATGAATGATACTTTGCATGGACTTTTTTGAAAGGTATACTCTAACTAATTAGAAAATCAAATTTACTTTCATATGCTACTAAAAATTTCCATGCTACTCTAGTCTTTTGAGCACCTCTAGTTTCGACTTTTGATGGTACATTTGCTTTTACTCCCTCCGTCCCTGAATATAAGGCAGCGATTTAACTTGCTGTGGTCTTTAAAAATATATATTGACCTATAATTTCTCTTATAGTTTGATCTAATTAGACTAATTATTAGTTAAAGATAACAAAATTTGAATTTTAAAATACGTGCATGCCTTATATTCGCGGACGGAGGGAGTACATATAAATTTCTTGGGGCTTCGTGACAGACCCAAATGCCATGCTACGAAGGTAAGGCCTTGTTTGGGTGTCGTTGTACTAAGAAACCATAGTATCAAGAAACTATAGTTTTAGAATCATTGATGTGTAAAACTATAGTTTAGAAAAAAGAGATCTAGAGTGAAGTTTTAAAACTCCAAAAAGACTACACTTTCCGCAATACCATGGTATTCAAAACCATAAAGTTTGTAGCACCCAAACACTTCATGGCACTCTAAAACAAAAGTATTTCACGAAATCATGGTACTTTTCTAAAACTCCAAAAATACTTTGTATGAAACAGGGTATGAGGCTCTGTTCGCTTCTCTTATAATCCGTCTTTTTCAACTTATTTTTTCAGCCGGAACAGTATTTCTCTCTCACAAAATATCAGGCGAAACAGTATTTCGGCTTATTTTTTCAGCGAAACGAACGGGGCTGAATGGTCTATCCTTCGTCAAGTTTAAGGTTGCTTTAGAAAAGATCTCTGGAAATTCCACCGGGGTACGGTTATGTTCCAATCACTCCGAACCGAAACTTGACAAAGAGATGGTGAAAGGCAACACCACACGCCGTGGATGCTCTCTTAACCTACCATTTGCGTCTTGTTAAGCAATGCCACGTATGTTAATTAAACATGCTCTTAGATACTCTCTCCATGCTAAAAAATAAAATCGTTTTGACAGCGACACGATCTCCAAAACATAACTTTGACTACTTATTTTTATAAAGATATTTATCAAAAAGTGATATATATAAATTTTTGTGAAAGTATTTTTCAAGACAAATCTATACATATGGTTTTTATATTTCCAAACTCAACAACTTAAAAGTTATTTATGATTTATATTTCTAATGTTTGATCAAGCCTCGTTCAAAACGACTTCATTTTTTTTTTAGTATGGAGAGAGTATATTAATTTATTTGGATCGGGCTATTCCATTTCCCCGGCAGATGATTGACTTGTCTTACTGTCTCCGTTCTATACAATAGCTCACTTCACCGTAAATCAAACTTTTCTAACTTTTTAGAAAATATACCAATATTTACAACATTAAATTAGATTTATTAAATTCTTGTTGGAATAATGTTTACATAGTGCGTTTATGTAAACTTATAGATGACATTATAGTTTTTTAAAAACTTAATTAAGTTTAAATAAATTTAATTTAAAACAAAATAAAAGTGAACTATAATTTAAAACAAAGCATGTATTCGTTAATAGTAACCAATTAACCAAAGACGATGGAGTCTGACAGACCAACTATTCAACATACACAAGCCTTAAACCCGTTGAGTTTTTTAGCACTTAGTAAATGTCAGTGCCTACAATCTTCTACCAAAACCGAACTAGGGGCATGTTTTTTTTTATTTTGAGCTGCAACTTTTAGACTTTTAACTTAAAAACTGCTTTTTTTTTTGCTGTTGTTTCTTTTGCTATTAACTTTGGTATAATTTTTTAACTTCTCGGCACATCGAAAGCCAGAAAACTCCTCTCAAAGCACATTTAAAATTTTAGTTCATTTCCTCATAAGCCAACCTTCCTTCCTGTTTTTTTTAAAAGCCAACTCAACAGTTGGATTGTATTGTTTTAGCCTCTGGCTTTTGGCTGGCAAAAGCTAGATAAAAGTTGAAAAAGGAATGCCCTTAGTCCTTCAAGAACAACCAAAATAAACACTATTTTGTGGAATTTTACTATTCAGGGGTGAATTTGGCCCTCCTTCTCCGGTTTGTTGGCTCTGATGAAATTTCTAAATCATTTAGTAAAACATGTTAGATTTACGAAAATTTCTACCATGTAATGGAAATAGAGTTGATCCTTGTCCTAAGGATAGTTCCAACAATATTAAAAGAGCAAGCTTATAAATATTTTATTGAGTAAGAAGAACAAAAAAATGATAAGTTAACTCTTCGTGAAGAGTTAAGCTTACACACTTTTCTATAAGTCATTTGTGTACGCTCACATATTTTCTATATTAATATGTTAGGTTACTCTATTTTTATATATTTTTTTAAAACGTATATGAGTTAGCAAGTTGATTCGTGAATAGAAAAAAAATGGCTTAAATTCAGAAATAACTGAGGCCCCACCAGGCCACGGAGCAAAGGCACTAGGCTACCACTATTTATAGCCGAGGGGCGCTCAACTCTACCTCCCGCACTCGGCACTTCCCTCTCCCAGTGCTCCTAGCCTAGCCATGGACGCTACAGCCCAACGAGCCATGGCAGTGGACACAAGCACTGCACCCACCACATCTTGCTCTTCTTCGTCCTCTACATCCTCCTCCTCAGTCGTCAATGACGCGCCGCAAGAGGTTGTTCCCAAGAACTCCTGCAAAGGCACGAACAAGCGGAAGAGAGCCTCTTCGCCGGACTCCCAAGAAGTAGAAGCCAACGGCAGCACCAATAATGGGCACCAAGGCGAGGAGAGCAGCAGCTGCTGCAGCAGCACCGACGACACCGAGGCGAGCGTCGGGAACAACAAGGCCGAAGAGGCGGCAGCGGCAGCGGCCACCGCCACCAGAAGCCGGAGCGGGTACAAGCACCCGTCGTACCGTGGCGTGCGGCGCCGGAGCTGGGGCAAGTGGGTTTCCGAGATCCGGGAGCCCCGCAAGAAGTCGCGCATCTGGCTGGGCACGTTCCCGACGGCCGAGATGGCGGCGCGCGCGCACGACGTGGCGGCGCTGGCCATCAAGGGCCGCGCCGCGCACCTCAACTTCCCGGACCGCGCCCACGAGCTGCCCCGGCCGGCGTCCACCTCCCCCGCGGACATCCAGGCCGCGGCGGCGCAGGCGGCCGCGGCGGCGCAGGCGGCCGCGGCCGCGGAGGTGCACTGTGACGCGCAGCCGTCTCCGTCGCCGTCGCCGTCGCCGTCGTCGTCGGCCGAGCTGTTGCCGTCGTCCCACGCGGCCGACGCCGACGCGTCGCCGGAGCAGGCTGCTGCTGACTGCTGCTGCCCCGAGGCGACGACGACGCACGGCGACGGCGACGGCGACGGCGACGGCGGGCAGGGCCAGGAGAGCGCGCTGTTCGACCTGCCGGACCTCATCCTCGACCTGAGGGACGGGCTGTGGTGGCCACCGGTGTGGCCGGCGGCGGCAATGGCCGCCGAGGAGTACGACGGCTGCGACGTCGTCGGGATGCATGAGCCGCTCTTGTGGGCCGAGTAGTTACTCGATGGCCTTACGTTTCTACAATCTACCACACTAGCAGTGAAGTATATGGGTCTTTTCCAAGAAAAAGAGGGAAAACCACCAGACACATGCGGAGTATGTACTAGTATGTTTACTATTCTTAAATTTTAGTACGTACGAGTATTGCCTGTGCTTGATTTGGGCATGGATCGGAGCAGCTGCCCCGTGTGTTCTTTCTTTCTGTATCAGCTGTGAGGACTAGAGACGTCGACTGATAGCAGCAGTCTGATGATGCATTTGCAAATCGCAGTTATTTTCTAGTAGTAGATGCATGGTTGCATTTCGCATCAACAATGATAATATTTTATTGTTGATCTTTTAAACAAAAACAGAAAAAAATATATACTGTATAATAGTTCGGCTGAGCTTTTACTATCAAAAAAAAAATTACAAAAATGACACTCGAAAGATTGACTCTTGATTATGATGACACTCGGGTGGATGACAAGTGAATCTATCTATGTCTATAAATATGGGTCCCATATTAAATCTACAAACGACCGATGATTCGAGTCTCATTTTTACATATTGCCTGACGATCTGCCTTCTTCTGTTCGGAGGTCGTTTTAGGGCCCGGCGGGCCGGCGAAAGCAGAGAGAGAGAGAGAGTCCATGTTGGCATGTTAACGTTGGGCAGATTCTCACTGGACAAGTGGACAGCTCCAGTTCGCAACGCTCCCGTTTGCTGCTGCCGCTGCTGCGTCGTTGTTACGGCAAAAAAGTCCAAGTGCTTTTTTAACTTATCACGCCAACTGGACGGACACACTTGCTCTCCTCTCGCAGGTTACTACGGCCCCGGTTCGTTTGTCTTATATTTCATATTTTTTAGCTTGTTTTTTTAGTTGAAGCAGTATTTTTGTCTCTCAACAAATCAGTTAAAATAGTATTTTAACTTATTTTTTCAACAAAACGAACAGGACCTACAGCTACAGCTGGTACTACTGAACTCGCAATATCTTGCGCCTTGTTCGGTACAGACTCCACGTTGTCCCTCCAAGGTTAGTACAGAGCACAGCTGCTGCAAACACCGGCCGTGAATACAAGATTGAAGAATGCACCCGATCCGTCCGACGCATGGAAAAAAACAACAAACGGGAGCGAAGCCGCAGGGAAAGTTCCATTCCACATGCCGCGCGCGCGATATTCCCTTGTCCCCTTCCACGCTCCAATCTGACAAGCCTGGGAGGAACAGGGAGCGGCGGGCCAATCGCCAATAGGTTAGGTGCAGAGCCAGTTACCGGCCCTGTTGGCTGGCTTCGGTATATTCCGGCGCTCCACGAGCGCTGCGAGGTTTTTGGCATGGGATCCGTCTCGCTCTCGCCTGACAGTTGACACGTACGTAGGCGGGCGCCGGGGCCGGGCGACCCCGTCACATGCCCGGACACATGGCCAGCGCGAGCGCGCACCGCACAGACACGGCCGCACCCTCACTAGCGCACGGTGAGCTGCGGTGTGCGCTTGTTCTGTGCGGCGCGCGCGCGCTCCGGCGCCTAATTAACGACGCCGTCCGGCAGAGTAATTACATTAATCGGCCGGGCCGGCTCAATCGCGCGGGGACCCGGGAGGCACAGCACTTCCCTTGTCGCCGTCCGGCCTGGTCGACCGGCGGGCGGGTGCTCGCCTGTAGCCCGTACATTGGCAGGCACGTACGGTGGGTGGGTGGTACAGTGGTCGCGCTCGTTGCGCGCTGAAATTGCATTGGCGAGTGGAGATTTTGGGTGGGGGATCGCCGGCCGGACCAGCGCAGGTTGGCCGGGTTTGGAGTTGGACAGGCCGGGACGGCGATGCACCTAAAGCTAATAATCGGGTGCTTAGCTAGCGCTCAACACTCAACAGCATCAGCATCCATGTTGGTGTGACCGTCCGATCGATCGATCGATGCAAGTTGCGTCCTGATTAATCAGTTCTTGATTCCCCCACGCGTCCGCCGTGCCTCTCTTCTCAGGCTGCTGTGGTTCTGATGCCCTCGTTGAGATTTGCAGGATATACGACAGTTACGGGCGCGCGACTGGAGCCTGAAAGCTACTGATTTTGTTGAGAGATTCAGTCAACAGCACGGAAGGAATCCATTGCAGGTGGCACAGCGTAAGGCATTTCGATTACAGAATTTGCACATGCGCAGTCTGAGCACCCAGCTGTCGCAAAATTTGCAACTAACAATATAAACTGCATGAATCCAATAAAGACAAGAACAAGCGACTCTTTGTCTGAAGATTTTAATTCCTACCGTCGCAGTTGCCATCAGGACAGAGCAATGAGTCTCACTCTCGACCCAATCAAGTGTTGTTGCTTTTGCCTCTTAAAAGGCTGAAAACGCAACGGTGTTTACTACTACCTTGCATCAGATCCGCATGCAGGCTGCAGCGCGAAAGCAAAGCCGGAAAACACTAAAAAGCGAAGAAGGAAAACCATGGACGAACGAATGAAGGTCGAAGAACGATGACGATACTCCTTCACAAGAAGATAGTCACTGCCAACAACTTATTGAAGCGCAATTGGACACATGACCCGAATTGCAAACTATGTGGGGTCGAGCCAGAAACACCAAATCACCTATGCAAAGATTGCCCCTTCTCGAAGCAAGTTTGGGCTTAAAACAATGGCTAAATCTTTCGGTGCTCAACACCGTGGGAATGAATGGATCACTACACAACTATTGGCGCAAATATTGTTCCAAGTTTCAAAGAAGACAAAGAAAAAATATAGATGGAATTATGATCTATTTTTGGTGGAATGTTTGGAAGGAATGAAATAGAATGACTTTTCAACAAAAATCTCAACAACCGTTGCAAGTCGCTCTTCTTTGCAAAGAAGACATCCAGCAGTACCAGTTGGCAACAAGGCCCATCGTTAATGCGGAGTAGCAGTTTGTTTGGTTTAGTTTTGTTAACTAGAGAGTTGATTTTCCCTTCTTTGTTCGCAGCATGGCCTTTTAATGGTGTTGTAGAGGGTCTGTGCGCCGTAGTAGTTGGCCATCGTGCCTGAGTTGTTGAGTTGTTTTTGTTTCGTATAATTTTGCTGTAAATAAGTTGTATTTTTTTCTTTTTATTCATCTAATGAAAATCCAGCAAAGCTTTTGCCACCTTTTAAAAAAAAAAAAGAACGACGACGATCGACGGAGGAGCCCACCGTCTATAATTGGTCAACAGTCCTTTTCTTTTAGGATCAAAGGGCCAAGAAATTCATGTGACTAACTATACAATATTCAGATCCCGATCGTAGTACTAGTGCTCTCAATCGCGCAGCAGCGCATGTGACAATAATCACGCACCGTCCGTCCGTCAGGGTGTTAGTTTCACTACGAAACCGTCGCTTGTGCCGGCCCCTCTTGCGTATGGGTAGCTCATCACTCAGTCTCCGTTTCCACCGTACTCATATTTTGAAAATAGTGGAGAAGAGTTTTATCTCCATACTTTTATAAAAATTTTATCCTCTTTTTCATTAATACATTATCATGTCAGCTAATTTGATGCCCATAAAACTCCATAAAATCCAATTGAGATTGGCCTTTCATCACACGCTAAGTTATACTAGTGTCTGAACGACCTGGTTCAACACCCTAGGGAAATTGCGCATGGCTCCTGGAGTATTTGGAGGAACGACGTTGCGGTAAACACCAGCCCCGCGTCGACGTGCACGCCGCAGAGGACACAGGTGCCGAAGGAGCAGAAATGTGCATCAGGGCGCTCTAGATCACGATCAAGTTGCTGTAGACATAATAGTTGGATCACCTGACGTAGCCGAACTCAAGGCGCCGGCAGCGATCGATACGCTCATGGAAGTGCTCCTCCCACGTCTCACACATGCACCTGAGCACCTCTACCGTTGCCTTTATCCGCTGATCATCGGCCTTCTACCATCATCGGGACCTGATATCTGTTGTTGCTGTGCGCGCTGATGAGAATGAATCCCACGATGCCGATCACCCCCCAAGCGTCGTCGTCAGTGCACTCTCTCCTCTCCAGTACACATATCTCAATACGAATTTAACGATATAGTGCGTAGGGGCATATGCCCCTAAGGGCAGATTTAGCATCTTCAAGAATACAACATTGATCGCTACCTAATATCTCATAATCACATACTCTTTTTGATCAGGTAGAAGTACAAGATTCGCAGATGAATCAACAAGGGCATAAAGCAAAAGACGGTGGCACAGTGACGCCGTACGCGACGGCGTCTTGTCCGTCGCAGGGGACCTGGGCGTGGATGAACCCACTCGCCCAGCGCCGCCGCCACATGCAGATCTTCGATTTGCCGACCCTGGTCTGGTCCTGTTCGCTTGGTTGATAAGCTATGACTGAAAGTATTGTTGGCTAATTTATTGTGAAAGAAAAATATTGTTCGTTAACTGAAAAAATACGGCTTATAAACCAAACGAACAGGACGCGTCTGTCGTCGTCGGATGGCCCGGAGTGTCATGACTCCTTTAGTTTATTTCACCACCCTCCATCATTTCGCCTCAGCTTAGGTTTATTTCACCCTCCTCTATCATTTCGCCTCTGTTTAGAGATAAATTTTAGTGTTAATCTTATATAAATACGATGGCTAAGTCCTTGTGACTATTGGCCTGCTTTACAAGTATATTGACACTAGTATAAGTTAAATTGCCCTTAGGGGCATATGTCCCTATGCACTGTGTCGTTAGATTCGTATTGAGATGTGTGTATAAAGATGTTTTGTAGTTTGGATCGTTTTTGCAGTTCCTTACCACGTATAATTATATTATATATTTCTGCCTTTGCTCGCCGATTTGATTTGATGAGCGCCCGTCGATTGATCGGTACGAGCGTAGCTTTCCAACAACGAGCGCCACCAATCATTTCTCTGCCATGCCAGCCGCCCGGGCGTCCCGATGCATGGACGGACATCACGCACGCATATCCGTTCGTTCTGCGGTTGCTGTAAGAGAATGACTAGTCGTATGGAAGTGATATGCGAATGGATGGATTAGTATTAACCACTCTTTACGTAGCAAAATACAAGGGGTTAATTGACGTACTAACCGCTCTCCCCGCGCGATTGGCCGCCGGTGAGAGCACGTCGGAGTCCTTCCACTGGCGCCTTGCGAATTGCGATCAAGTCATTTCAATGGCTTTGCTTCTGTCACGTCCCCGGTTTGTCTCACTCCACATCCACTCAGATGAACGGAGGACGCATGACTAGCTGGTCCACGTCATAGATTAATTGCCGGATCGTAGCATTTCTGTGCTTGATAAATAAAGTGAGACTAGCTAGCTACATGCAGGGCAGAGGAAGGTCAAGTTAGAACTGAAGCAAGCCCGTATGGAGCTAGCGCCGGCCGTCGTTAATTAACAACGCAAAAGTATTCGTTGATACTAGTATATGAGAACAATACTCTCTTTTTCTTCTTCCATTCCATGGATGCATATATGTTTATGTTTTCGGTCGATCTTTAATTGCCGTCCATAGGACAGGCTATCGTGGCGCTGAACGTGCTTTCTAGACCGTCTTTCTCTTTTGGTACAGTCGTTCTCGCGTTGTTGCACACATTAGGTAACAATTCAACCGATCATCTAGGCTTTCGTGCTAAGATTTTCGTTGATACGTAGCATGTGCTTTTGACCAGGTTAATAATGAACATGTTAAATTACTAGTACAAGCTAAATTCATGTGATGATTGGTTCAGATCCAGAGATGCTTTCGAATGTGTAATTAATGATGACATTGTGGTCTCTATATGTGTGGCCTCGCTACTGATGACGTCAGAATTTATTTATTTTTCTTTCGGTCACACCATTCTCTGTGAAAAATAGCTCATGGAGTAGGAGTACGTTCTTGGCTCAAGAAAGGTTCGTGGAATTCATACACTCCAACTCTCCAAGCATGCTCTTGCTCACCAATTCTCCTTGGCTATTGTATTTTCTTTCTTTTTTTTGTAGCCTGTATGGCAAGTTATCGCTAATTAACTCATGTGCTCATTAAAAATTGGCACGAGCTTTAGCCTTTAGGTGTAGGACCTCTATTTGTCTCTGTCACAGCTTTAGTTTCTCAGTAAACACTCATCGAGTCATCGGACCAAACGAAAAGGCTGCAGCGAGCCGAAAGACCGAAATGATCGCTCCATTCCAGCTTTTTTCTTCTCAGAGGAGAGTTTCTGTCGCCTGATCGATCGTTTAAAATTAAACAAACCTCAAAAAGGCTCTGGAGTGTGATCTGAGGAAGCATCGTATCTCAAACTCACGCCACGAGTTCCTCCCACGACGTATTTTAAATGCCCTAGCTCTCCCTGGAATCTGGCAGTGTTTATATTGATTGTTTCGCTGCATGGATCCCTAATACACGCGTAGCTGCAATAGTTTATAGTTTATCATGCATTCAGCAGCAGTATCAGCAAAGGAGACTGACTGCTTTATTTCCTTCCATTCCATCTTGCATGCTTTCCCCCAACAAACGCTGCTACGCTGTGCTCTCTGCTCGCTGACACGGTTGGCATTTCCCTCGTTGCCATTGTATAATGAAGCAATATATATGTTTATTTTAACACAAGATAATGATACTGTACCATGGATCTCTGAATGAGGGATTTGTTGCAGTTTAATACTTCGCACACGGCCCTCGCATCGGTAAGGACACGTTGCCTGGGGATGCCAATTTCAGCTTACTTTAATCATTACCCATCCAATCGACCAATCCAACGGAAGCAACGCACTCCCACATACGCATGCTGTGCGCTGGGGCATGGCATGCTGCTGCCTGAGACCAAATGTGGGGTCGGTAGTGCAGACTGACCACTGACCGTCAGAGAAGCGCGTACACCAACCTCTTGCTCTTGGCCTTGGGTTTGCTTGCGCTCCCTCTCCCCTGCCCTCCTATCGTTCTATATTTTTCAATGCCATTCACATTTCTTTTGGAGAATCAAAAGAAATATGACACTCCAATTGCGGTTTCCACATTGACTTTCTTTTCGGAGATCATTCCAAGTGTAGCCTGTCCTTGATCCATATATATATGGTATGCGAATGGTGCCTCACATATCACAGTCACCAAGTGCAGGCAAACTCACAGCGATCGGTCCTAAGTTGTAGAAGCAGAGTTAGAGGGACACTACTTGGCGTCGTGATCAGCAGCAAGCTAGCAGGTAGGGCTCACTCGATCGCCACCGTCACACTCGCCACGTCATGTCGTCGTCGTCGTCGATGGAGCACGACGAGCAGGTGTCGCCTCAGGTGTCCGAGGGCGGCTGCACCTGCAGCAGCAGCAACAACAGCAACACCATCCGCAGCAGCTCCCTCAACGCGTCGTCGCCGAGCTCCAGCGACGACTCCGGCGGTGCCGGTGGCAATGGCAAGCAGGGCACGAAGAAGCGGCCGCGCAGGGACCTGAAGCACCCGACATACCGCGGCGTGCGCATGCGCAGCTGGGGCAAGTGGGTGTCTGAGATCCGGGAGCCCCGCAAGAAGTCGCGCATCTGGCTCGGCACGTTCGACGACCCGGAGTCGGCCGCGCGGGCGCACGACGCCGCCGCCGTCGCCATCAAGGGCCGCGCCGCGCACCTCAACTTCCCCGAGCTGGCACACGAGCTGCCCCGCGCCGCGTCGGCGGCGCCCAAGGACGTGCAGGCCGCCGCCGCGCTCGCCGCGGCCACTGTGGCGGCGGCGGCTTCACCCATCGTCATCCCGTCCTGCGCCCACGCCCACGCCACGGCGATGCCGACACCGAGACGGAGGAGCTGCCGCCGCCTGAGCGTGCAATGCCGGAAGAATGCGACACTGAGAACCAAGCTCAGCTCGAGCAGCTGGGTGGCGACGACATTGACATTGGACTGGGCTATACCTTCTTGGACGTGCCAGACGCTCTAGACTTCGGGTACATGTTGTCGCCGCCGCCTCTGCCGTCTTACTGTGGCTCGCCGTGGGATGACATCGCCGATGACCTCTGCTTCGAGGAGCCCTTGCTGCTTTGGGAACACTGACGATGCAAGGCTAGCCAACTCCGTCCGTCCACGAGATTCTTTGTTTCTTTTGGTCTACACATTACTGTGTGCTAGCTAGCTCACCTTGTCGATCATCGCTGTGATGCGTGCTAACAAATTTTGCAAAAGCACATGTAGTTACACTGAATTCATAGTTTTCAATTTTTGATTCCATTATAGGTCAATAAGACTCGTGCCACTTTGTATCATATACAATAATACATGAGAAATGTTTTCCATCAGACACCCGAGGTGCACGAGGTTTCCATGAAGCAATACTCTCAACCGTTCATCATCTAGCATCTGACGGCCTATTACATTCTTCTTACTATAGTGCTCAGCTGTTTATCTGTGGCCTATTGCTTTCTTCGGCCCTGTTTAGAGCCGCTTCTCTCAAGCTTACGGTGAAAAAAAAAAATCTTTAGAATGCCCATTAAACGGCGTGATTCTAAGCCAACTTCTCTTCCGCTCGCGATTCTTCTCTCCGCGCCCCTTCAACGTGGAAGCAGAAGTCGCCCGGAGGCTGCTATGGGAGAAATCCCCGAGAATGTCGACCACCTTTCCTCCCACACCTCACAGGCCACGGTCTTCGAGCCCCTCGCCACACGTCGCGCCAGCGCCCCCGCCCCGCCCCTGTCTTGGCCCCGTTTGTTTCGCTGAAAAAATAATCTGAAACACTGTTCCGTCTGATTTGTTGTGAGAGAAAAACATTGTTCCGACTGAAAAAAACAAGCTGAAAAAAACGGATTATAAGAGAAGCGAACAGGACCCTTATCCATCTTGTCGATTTACGAGTCCCTCCTTGTCGTCGTGTTCGTAGCCTCTGAGCCCCTCACGACTCACTGCGCCGGCGTGCCCACATCATCCTCGCTGGTGTCCAGGTGAGTAGGTGGTGACCAACCCTTCTTCCTCGACGCGGGTCACGACCTTTGAGCCCCTCATGCCCCTGCCGACACCCCCGCCTCCTCGCCGGTTCTTGGGCCCCTCCTCCTCTCCTCGATCCACACGGTAGATCTAGTCCGGGAGACGGTAGCGGGTGCCCTCCCTCCTCGCGGCTGGCCGAGATCCGGCGTGGAGGGGGGCTCCCCCTCTTCCTCCTCGCCAATGTCATTAGTGGTGGTGATGAGTTCTTCCCCTAGAATCGACGTGCCAAACAGTTAGTTTCTTTATCACGAGATTTTTGTGGAAAGCTAGCTTTGATTCAAAGCATGGTTGAGATAAATTATCCCAAACAAGGCCTTCTTCCTACAAAGTGAATCAACATCGAGATTATTGGAGGTGTACGTGAATATATATGTACATGTCCATATCAAGATTTCGATATACGTAGTTTTTTTTCTTCTCATTTACATGTTGTTCCAACAAAGCGCCTTGAAACACCAGTCCATGCAGCGAGTATAAACAACTAGTAGCACAAACCAATGATGAGCTAAAAATATGATATGCACACCCTGGTTTACAGTGGACGCAATCATGCAACGCACTATATGCATATATTCTAGAACGAAGAACTAAAGCGAACTGCCGTTCTGTCTCTTGTTCTCTCGAGCCGTTCTAGCCATTCCAAACAAACCTCCAAAGATCTAGCCAACGTAACTAGCCATCCCTGGAGATCAGTGGCGAATTTAGGATTTTAGCCTAGGGTATGCCGCTCAAAAAAATTATATACAATTCGGTAAATCTATTTTAGCAATTCGGTAATAATTGTAAATTTTACAATATGATTCGATAAATTTAAGGATTAGATTCAGACCATTCACTAAATACAATATAAATAGTTCAAATATAGGCATAAAAGAGTACCAAAGACTTACAATGCTATTTTTCTCACCGGTTTATTCGACGCTTACAATGGGACATGAATGCCTTGACTATATTATTTTCATCAACTTTAAAAAAAATATCTCGCTCAACGAAAGTGACTAAACAATCATTCAAAAGGCTAAACAATAATTTTCTATAAAAAACCTGAAGGGCAAAGATTAAATTACCGTAAATATTGCAGACGAGACGTGCGAGAAATAGACGGCGATCCTCCAATTCAGAGCAGGGCGGAGGGCGGCAGCCAGCAGGCACCAGGGGCCAAGGCGGGGCGGCACCGACTCGACTCACTCGGTCAGGGCGTCAGGCGCAGGCGGTGTGTTCCTCCGTGGCTCTGTACTCAAATTAGGAAACTAAAACGTCGTGTACAGAGTTGGAGACTCAGAGCGCGCATACTGTATGGGTTCACTCGCCGAGTGGGCCGCGTTACATGGGCCTCCCATCATCAAGCGATGGTGTCCAGGTATGCTTTTTCATTTTTCTTTTTTATAAATACACCGTATACACTATATTATATAGTATATATATACTACTTGCCGCCGGTTTTGCAGGGTATGCCGGTGCATACCCGGCATACCCTGAGATTCGTCATCACTTATGTCTAAGTGTAGTTAGTGGCACAAGGTTCAGTGACAATTAGTATATATTGCATGGTAGGTAAGGCCAGGCATGTGGAGGCAGCCTGCATGCCAACCTCAGTAAAAGCACCAAAAATTTTTATTTTTAGCCCTTTTTTTGAAAATTATTCATAAATATGCCCCTGGAGGTATGATTTCAAAATTTGGACCCTTAGCTCGGCGTCATCGTTGCTGGCGCCGAGCTTACACTGCTCGGCGCCATCGTTGTTGGTGCCAAGGTCTTGGGCTCGACTCAGACGTGGCGCTGACTTGGAAGTCAGCTCGGCGCCGTAGATCCTAGCGCCGAGCTCGGCGCCGTAGATCTTGGCACCGAGCTTGACGCCGTGGTCTCTGGCGCCAAGCCCTGTGTTACGTATGGACCCTCCCTTCCTTTCTCTCTTCATCTCTCTCTCTCCAACGCTCCCGAACCACATTTGCTGCGCCGCCGCCGCTTGGCGCCACCGCGCCACAGCGCCGGTCGCGCCGCGCCCGCCGCGCGCCCACCCGCCCGCCCGCCGCGCCGCCGCCGCGCCCGCCGCCACGAGGAGCATCGGCCGTCCCATGCCGCCAGCGCGCTTCCCTCCCGGTCCGCCTTCCGCCTCGGTCATGAGGTCCCGGCTCAAGATAGGTCCGCGATCCTCCGGTGATCCTCCGGTGACCCACATGGCATGGCCCGGCTCCTAGTGCGTCGCGACCTCGCCGTCGATCCCGTCCTCCACGTCCGCATCGCATCGTTGTATTGACTTGGACAGGTAAAATTTTTGAATATGCAATGTAGGTACTTAGTTATCTTGAATTGTAGTGTTACTTAGATTATTTGATAGTTTCTAGTAAATGACATGATGTAGGTAGTTGATTTAGTTAGTGAGATAGATATAGTTAGATAAATATAGTTAGATAGCTAGTGACATAGGTACATAGATATAGTTATTAGATAGCTAGTGTGGCAAAACCGTCCGAAATAACACATTTACGGAGGCGCTCATCTTCCACCAGACACTAAGCACCCCCGAAAGCAACCTACAGCGAGCGGTATCCGTCGGACACACCCCAAGGAGGAACCCGAAAGATCCACATTTTTTTCTAAGGATCCAATAATGAGAACGAGTTATAATACTTAATGCATTTCATACATCCAGAGTTCTTAGAAATTCATTATTACATTGCCAAATGTCAAAGTGCAGAATATTAAATAACGGAATTGAAAATAAACATCTAGCGATAAAGAACAAGGATCTATCTGTGCCCACCAGATGAATCCTCCACGCAATGATACTCCTCAAGCATTACATGCAACAGGGGTAAATAAACTCTGAGTACACAATGTACTCGCAAGATTTATCCGACTAGTGGGAATAATTTCCCGACTCCAAGGGATATGCAAAGCTTTATGGTTTGCTGGTTTCCTTTTTGCAGAAAGCAATACTAATAGTGTGTCCTTATTTATGTTATTATTAATAGCCGTATTAATTTATTATCTAGCCATTATATGTAAGCACCTGTTCTACTTTCAAGCAAGAGTTGAGCAATAAGTTCCATTTCATCACCTTTCATCTTCCAGTTCTTACTACGGTGCTAGAGTTTAGATAAACCGTACGGAATTTCCCGACGATTCATGAATCAATGCCCCTAGCTGGGTACCCCGAAAACACACGCCCCGCTTGTACCCCAGGCACAAGCAGGACCAACCCATCACCCTCCTGTCAAGGGGTCTAGGTCCCCGTTCAAACTTGGACTCCAAGCCCCCGCTTCTAAGTCCCGAACTTAGTGTGGTGCAAGGATCTCCATCATCCCCGCCTCCAATCAGTCGGTCCGAAAAGAGTCGGAACCCACGACAAGAGAGCAACAAGTCTTCCCTGCGCCCATACCCCAGTATGTGCTCGGGATAATAGATCTATGACTTGCCTAGCGTCCATTGCAATGATCGGTCCTTAACCGACACAGACAGGGGAAAAGTGTAACCAAGCTATGCCCTGTTGGCCGCAGGACACAGCCTCTTACACCCACCAGTACCCGAACCATATTCCTGCCCGATCACCACTTTTTCTTTCTACCATTTTATCATGAGTGATCATAATTATCACCTATTGTGAGTAGCAGCTATTCGACCTATACTAGTAGGACTCATATGTAGATATATTTATGCATGTAGTTTCCATAAAATGCCTGTAACGTAAATGCACATCATATATATTCAGTGATCATTAAAAATATGGGTTATACACCGAGGTTTGCCTTGGGCAGGCGGTGGGTCAACAAAGTCAGCACCAAAAGGCTCCGGGGCTCCCTCCTGCACGAGGATCTTCTCCTCGTACTCCTCAACGACCTCTTTGTAATCCTGTTAGTCCACAGGCACAAACTCTACCAACTCATGATCTACATGCATGAAATGATGATGCAATACTTAGTAATATGACAACAGCAGCTCTTAAAATAAAATACATCTATT